GATATTAGTTGTTTCTTCGTCCTCTAAGGAGAAAGATCGACAAATATACATCGACACTGGATTCGATGGGTGGATTATGAAGCCGGTTGGTTTGCATCGGATTGGTGATCTGTTGGATGGGGTCTACGAAAACGAACGTCGCAGCAATTATATCTACAGGCCCGGGATGTGGGATGAAGGTGGCTGGTTTGAAGGATGATTGACCAAACGGGGAGCTTGATGCTACTGTTTGGTTATCCCGGGGGCATTGATTGACTCCTGGGATTATTGTCATGCCGTTACGATGAATGCTACTGTATAATATACACCGTCTGAACACACTATATCCTGTTCATGAGCACAATAACTATTTATATAACTCAAAGACCCTATAAACAACCTCCTAATCCTTTGTTACAGTAAGAATAGAATATCAACATGTATATACAACAGGAAGACCGAGAAAATCCTGTGGGTGTCCCATGGGCAAAATGAAATACAACCGTAGCCCACCACGCAGATGTATGCAACGCGAACCGAGGTCAAAAATAGAAAAAGGGGAAATCTAGAAACATACAATGAAACAAAAAACTCGACTAATAGAATTCCGGTAAATCTCCGAAACTCGGAATGTCATCACCACACTTGAAATCTGGAGCGTAAGCCTTCTTCGGCATATATCCATTCTTCCAAGCCGTTTTATAACTCCACTGGGCAGCGGACTCGGTGTGCCAGGTCCAATAAAACCAGCCCTGGGCTGTTCCAAAAGCAGACATTTGCGCTTCGGCATATGTTTGAAGGAACTTCTTATAGCCGTCTGAGTAATCGGCGGGAGGGGCATTGGCCGAGGCACAGCTGCAGGTTGGACCTGTGTCAGCGGTGGGACAATAGACAGTTGAGTCGTCTCTAGCAAAAGTGCCTTCCCAGCGGGTGCCGCGGCCGACGTTGTTGAGGTATTCGGCACAGTCGGTGTCAGCTTGGGACCATTCACCACAGATGGTTGGGCCCCAGCTATTTATATCGTAGTTAGTAGCTGACTGGATATGGTCGTGAATTGGGAGTTATGGGGGTTTAAAGTTGAACGTACCCTGCATCTGTGGTGTTGATCTCTTTGATCATGTTATACCAGTCATTACAGACGAGCTTGACCCGGTCTGTGTGATTGAGGACAAGTTGTCCCGTGTTGAAGATGGTGTACTGGTGAGTGTCCAAGAACATCCGGTCCGGGCGGTCCTTCAGCATTTTCTTCCATTTGCTCAAGTTCAAGAAGCCGTCGTGGACGGTGACATAGGCTGAAATACCGTTCTTCTGCACCAGCTTGGTGGCATCGGTCGTCCAATTTAATACGTCCTCAATCGGTAACGAAAGCATGAGTGGTTCATTGACGAGGCCGTAAATTGTGACAACATTCTTGTAGCGGGGTTGCGCGAAGAACTGCGAGATTTGGTTGTGGAAATCCAGAGAGCGCTGTCTGTTCAGTTGGCCGTTTGTGCCATTCAACCAGCCGATGATTCCCTCGCGGCCGCTATGGTTCCAGCCATTTTGGCTACCCGGAATGCCATGCGGGTCCAGGTTAACGCGGAGTCCGTACTTTCGGCAGTATTCAATGGCTCGCAAGAGATACCTCCATGAGATTTTTGCGACATAGGGATCATCGTCATATGTCGTCACCGCCCAGTAAGAGAACTGGATGCGAACATGATCCAGTCCTGCATCCCTCATGTCTGCGAAATCCTGTTCTGAAATGAAGTCGGCGTAATGCTTTTCGATCTTCGAGGCAGCGGACGATCCGAGCTTTTTGCACAATGTATACTCGTCGATAATACCGTCCTTGCTGGAGTAGCTTTCAAAGAGTGAAGGGACAATAAAGGGCTCAATTGACAGCCATCCCCCAAGATTCACACCGCGAATTGGTTGCGATCCATACGGGAAGGATTCGTTCAAAGGGGGCACGTTGTCGTTGGGCCTTGTTGAGTCGTCCCACGTGGAGTTTAGCCCCATGATAGGAAGGCCACCGACCGTCTCGTTGGTAAAGGTCAGGTTAAAGTCTCTAGTGTCGTACCATGTCCAAGGGTCCAGCATTGATCCTCGAGCATATTCCTAGGCATACTAGTTAGCAAAGAGCCATAGATTTGCATGGAAATAGACATACCGGAATGCTGTCGTGACTTAGGCCATCCAAGCTTGAGGTGTATGGCGAGTCGCTGTTATCGACGGAGGAGCTTGAGCCTGAGTCATTATCATCGTGGTCATGTTTCTTAGACACGACGACAGCAACTGGGATAACAATAGCAAGCATGAGAATCAAAACACCTATGACAATCCACCATTTCTTCCGTTTCCAGAATGGTGGATGTGCATCGGAACCCTCCATACTTCCATCCCAATTACCCTCCTTCCCCCATCTAGCCTCCATTGCTGGACCACCACCTCCGCGATGCCGAACCTCCATTTTTGGATGTCTACCCTCTTCCAGATAAGCACCGGACACGATTCTGCCTTTCGACTGCCCGCGAGGCGTCTCCTCAGGGAATGGGGCAAGAGTCTGCGGTTCATCACCAACAACAGGACGCTTGCGCTGGCGTCTGCTCTTCGTCCGATGCTGTTCTTCTGCCTGGGATCTTTCCCGTTGGTCTTCCTCATCATAATGGGAGCGGAGTTTGGCCAACGCATCAGCACTCAACAGATGAGATCCACTATTCGTAGAGTCACTGCTCTTATGCTTCATTGCTGCTGCGCCGCGTGTCCTTTCCCTTCGCCTCTGCTTTCGCGCCTCTCTATCCAAGTCGCGAGGTCGTTCCCCTTGACCGTCTCGACTGCGATGCCTCCGGTCCCTTGCGCCCCATGAAGGACTACCACCATCACCATAGGTTCTATGTCTTCTGTATTCCTCCCTATCGCGATTCCTGTCTCTCTTGCTCGGCGACGCAATTGGCGAACCTCGTGCCCTAGACCTCTCTCTCCGTCTTCCCTCCACATCATGCGATCTTAGAGGCACCGCAGGATCCTCCGCAGCAACATCATATTCATTCAAATCGTCATCATAGTCTGGAGATTCATGGCTTCGTATATCATGCTTGTAGTCGTCACGCCTATATCGTCTTCGTTCACGGGGATGGTAATCGAAATCGTCATCGTCATCATCATCATCATCATAAACCTCGCGATAACGTCGTCTGCTCGGATCCCGCTCGCCGCGATAGCGGTCCCGACTGCGCGAGTGACTCGGCATGCAATTCTAACTTTACCCGGAATGCGTCAATCGCGCGATCAGCAAATTCGACAATGCGAATGCCGGACGCCCCACTCGTTTACCGTCAAACAAACCCGAGAGCGTCATGAAAATTCGTGTCGCAAAAGGAATGGGAAGTTGGGGGTGTGTGGAATAGTTAAATCAAGGAATGTGAGGAATTAAAATCATCGTTAAGAAATCGCACAGAAGAGGTGGACTCGGGGCAAGAATTGCCAATTATACATATGCGACTAGGGAAGCGCGACTCTATAGCCCAGACTTTAGTTAGTTGCCCGCGCTAGGTCCAAGTTTCTAATGTGCCTCTCTTATCGCAGTAAACAAAACTTGGCGACTCGGGAGCGCGTCGCTACCTACTATCGAAGCGAAAAACGCGGGCCCTTGGCCCGCTTATTATAATATGTAGAGCCAGGTAAGTAATGCTTGGTTCATTTCAGCATGGTTGTTTCAGTCTGGAAGCTGCATATTACCATCTAGTATGTTGTTGTTCGGAAGATTTTCCGATCGCGAGGGATGGTTTATTTATGGATCCGACGGCCTGAGAAACCGACCCCTTGGCGCTGGTGGAGAAGAAAAGTTGCGGAGCAACAAAGCGGTGAATTTCAGATTAATAACTGCGAGATCATCCTGTACTCCGTAGTAGGGAGAAGAGGATTGTGGTTGCCTGGTTTCTTGGGTTCCATTTGATTAGTGGAGAAGAGTGACATTGAAGGTTGAACCAGTTACCAAGGAAAGGCAGTTGATCACGAGCTCTCATACATGGACCCTGTTCCCTATATGTATATCAATGTTTATTCACATTCAAACAGAAATATAATAGTAACATATGAACAAATCATTAATTACAAACGAACTGTAATCATCCAATCCAATTGAGATCCTGGCGGAAACAGGAGAAAGTTATAAGAGAAAAAGAGAAGAAAAATATCTATGCAAACCCCCTTCCAATCTTTCAACCACTATGCACAGCATAACCACTGCCAATCCATGACCATCAGGAGGGGTATGTAAACGCCATCTAAGCAATCAAAAGCACACAAGACAGGAAACAAAATGCACATCCACAATAGTCAACATGCAGAATAGAAGTAAAGTCTCGCTGGTCAACTTAGTAATGATTATGATAATAAACTGGTCATATATGCACTTCCATCTGTACAACTCCGCACCCAGACCAACACAAACAGGGGAGAACGAAGATCGAGAATAGGTCTGCTCTTTGCCAAACCCACGAGAATAAAGGAATTGAGGGAAATTAAAGAAGTTATATTTCTCTCGCGGCCCAGGGCTCATACAGTCTTGGGGTCCAAAAATGTGAAAACATGAAGACGCCAACTGCACGGTCATCAATTCAGTCACCCTTTCGTGGCATGTTGATGCATTGCCAGGCGATGTTAAATGCGAGGGATTAGAAGAGAGAACCAGCAGAACAGTGGTTCATGAGTCTTGCCGCTGAGAGGTTTTTTGTTTTTGTGTATCGCCAAATTTTCAATATTGTTAATTTTGTTCACCTGACCTCGGAATCTCAAACGCGACGGCCGGAATTGCCAGGCGAGACATCGCAAGATATATTGCATTAGACGCCATGATGCGACCAATCTTAGTTGGGCCAGCCAGTGGTGCAACATGTCAGCGATCTGTTCAATGCTGTAAGAGGAGGGGGATTCCATTTCGACAGGCCGATGCTTGCCCGGCTGGCTCAAGAGTCGAGGCCGACGGAAGGCAAGGCGCGTCATGTCGCCCCTGCAGCTTAAATTGATCCATGTCCTCCTCAGCTAATGATCTGTCTAGCTCCTTCTTTGCCCAGAACACCTGGCTCCTGTGGCTTTGGACTCCTGTCACGGCCCTTCTTCCGGCTCAGGAAGGACAGCATTCCGCTGTTCGAGGATTTTCCTTTGATAGAACCGGCATCATAACCTTCGGCTGGGAGGGTCGAGCTTTGATCAGCCAATTCACTCCAACTGCCTGCTTCCTCGAGCACCATCTGCACACCACCACCTTTGCTTGTTTTCCGTGTTGCTCCTCTCGGACGACCAGGCACAGGGTTGGGGTTGGTTGGGGGGAGATTGTTGGCCGCAGGGTGAGGCTGGGGATGGAATGGACGATGGAACTGTGGGGCTGGTGAGGGTGGCGGCTGTGGGTGGGAGGTGGGAGAGGTAGGAGCATTGTTCGGGATAGAATCCTGATGATCCACGGTCTCACCGTGGGGTGACGGTGTTTCAGGCTGAGTCAGTCGGCTCACTGACCCATCATTGTTGCGCAAGGGAGGCGAGTTTCTCGAAGAATCGGTCTGCGAATATTGTCGGGAGTGCGTCGAGCCAGTTGGGGGAAGGCAGTCTTCGGGGTTCCTAGGTAATTGTCAGTAATTAGGATGGTTCATTCTCGCGCATACTTCTCCCTTCACTCACTTCGACGCTGCAATAGCTTCCGCAGCATTTCTGTGACCGGTTAGCGGGATTCACTTTTCATATACACTTTGCGCTAGATAACGTACCCTTGGAAAGTCACGGTCGTGTAATCAAATGGCTCGAACATAGTTTCAATCAGACGGTGAAGCTCATCTTCTCTGATTTCCTTCGCTGTAGCGTCTTCTCTTAATTCTGCTCGTGGCTTCTGTCGGCGAGCTCTGGCCTCGAGTGGCGCCTCCTCAAGAAGCAATTCCTCCAGATCATATGTGGCGTCAAAGTTGGTCTTATCGCTAGAGGGCCTGAACACAGGCGGGACTTCCTTGCGCTCAAGCGCTACAAAATCGATTTCAGCGAAGAAGGGGTGAGAGATAAAACTCTCCCAACTGGAGGCGCCAATCCGTTTGCTTCGGTCCTTCTCCATGAATGCACCCATCGCTCGCAAACATGGAACCGAGACTGCCGGATTAGTGACATAGTACTTCGGCTGGGCTTTCTTTATGTTTTCGCTTAATACGTCCTGGCTACGACCTTCAAATGGTCGCTTGCGGGTTGTTAGCTCTGATCCAGGTTACAGAACACGCTTCAACAAACCTTGTTGTAGATACATTCGTAGAACGTTACACCCAGGGACCACCAGTCGACTTCGCAATAGTATCCGCCGCCCTCGTATACTTCGGGCGCAAGATATGCCAGGGTCCCCGATTTACTAGTGAGAGGCTTTCCGGGACGAAAGTCCGAAGCCACATTCTGCAGTGAAGACAATATGTTAGTTTCCCATAGTACTGCAATGCAAGGGTTCAGGTCGGTCAGGAGGATAACATACGAAATCAGCCAAGTGGACGTGTCCTTCGGAGTCCAGGAGCACATTGTCCGGCTTCACGTCCCGATGAATGATGCCTTGCGAGTGAATATATCTCAGAGCACACCCGAGTTCGGCCGCCCAAAAGCGCACTGCTTCTTCTGTAAAGCATTTCCTTGAGATGTGGAACCGTAGATCACCACCATTCATTAGATCCACCACGATATAACTTCTTAAGTATCAGCAACATGGCAAGGGTGGGGGCGGAGGGGAAGAATTGCGTGAAAGGACTGCTGCAAGACGCACATATACTCTATATCTTGGAAGCTGTATCTTAAGTTGCACAGGAATGGGTGGTTCAAATGCTCGAGCATTCTCCGTTCACGGATAATATTCCGCACACTTTCCGACCGAACCACTGCAGAAGAAGTACATCAGTTAAGGCAAAATGGATCGGAAAAACCTTAGGTGCATACCTTCTTCTTTTCGGATGTATTTGAGCGCAAATGTCAACCCGGTATCCTTTTTCTCCACGATACGAACCTTTCCGAAAGCACCTTTCCCGACCACTCGAAGTAATCGGAATTGGTTTAGGTTGACTGTTGCCCCCCTGCTGTCAGCGTGATATCCGAATAGAAAATCAACCCATTGTTGTCGGTTTCAATTGACGAGCGGGCAACATAAACGTACCTTCATCGGAGGAGCACACCGGCTTCCCCTGCGAATTCCCCATTGAGAAAGTTGTGTGACGACAGAGGCTAGAAAGAGTTCGTCGGAGTAACTTCAGACCACATCCCACACGAGCCTAGTACTTATTGTATGCGTCGGCGTAGCACAAGTTCGGCTTTATGTATTCGACTGTCTGCGGAATCGGAATGAAAAGACAAGAGAGAGGCGAGTCTGAGGGAAGGCAATGAAAAGACGGACCGGCCGAAATGACGAGGCGAGGTGAAGGGGCTGTATTAAGTAGAAAACAGACGGAGTCTAGTTGAATCAGATCTATGGTTCCCGAGACATCAGTATTAGCCCGCAAACGAAGTATCACCAAGTTATGTAGAGGCTGCTGCGCCCGAATGATACGGGGAAACGTGGGCGGAGGGGCTCAGTTTCCAGACTTGCCCGGAAACAATATTTTGCAGATAAAACATACCCTCAGTAAGATGCAATGGCTTCGGAAATCAGAGAAATTCCTTAGACAGACACTGCGTCCAAAGCTCGGAGGTGAAGCAGGACGTGCGTGAGGCGGAGAGAGGACAGAGGAGAGGCGATTTTGGTGGATTGAAGCAAGACGACGTGAGAGAGAGAGCGGCAGCCCCTAAAACGGAGTAGTTTGATAGTTAGTAACCTTAAAGCCTTCCGTCAGAGAAAAAGCGAACGGGCCGCATGTTTAGGTCGTGTTCTTTTTCTTTTTCCCTATATTATTTATTTATTTATTTATTTTCGCTTTTTTCTTATTCTTGTGATTAATATTCCTTTGAGAATTCTAAAGTTTACTTCTGACCCTTGATTGATGAGGATTCAAATCATCCGATATTATTAAATCTATTTTTTGTGTTATGTTTCTGGAATAGATAGAAAACTTAAAAGAACTACCAGATACGGGGAATTAACATGACCAGGCTTCTCCTCTTCTTTTCTTTTTCCTTCCTTCAGTTTTCTTTTTCTCTTTCCAG